TGTGTGAGAAAGAATGTGAATGTTTAGGCTTTTATGATTAGGTGGGGGCCACTAGAGGCTATAAGAGTTTGATCAATGCACCATTTTGAGATCTGATGCTGTCTGCTGTATGGTGTCCATCTCCCACGCGTGTGTTCATTAAATCATCGTTTGACTTGACCCGGCCGGACCAGTGTTGTTATTTTGGTTTTCCTCTTGTATCCATCCCCGATATTTGAATCCGTAACAGTTTGCACTTTGTTTTTCAAATCTACTTGTGGTTTTTCTTCAAAGTGTGGTGGTTTCTCATGTGACATCATGCGCACATTACCTGACTGCTGTCCACCACATTGAGTGTGTGACCGTTCCAGCGATCATCGTGAGAAATGTGAAATAATAGCTTAATGAGTTTAGTGACCTTATTTATGACCGTCGGGAACACTCTGATGTCCGAGCCTAGCTTCCGGACTTTTCCAGCAGACGATGAGATGTTAAACTGAGAAAAAATTTGGGATTGCACTAGCTGTGGTGAAGGAATGTTTTTGTGGTGTGAATATTGAATAACGTGTTCATCCTGATGCTCACGGATGATCATGTGTTGATCCTATGTTCAGCTTTGCTCACTGTCATCTCCACTGTCTGCTGGTTATGCTGTTGTGAACTCAGCTTTCCTGTTCCAACCACTCCACCTACACGCAGCGTCATCCACTTTGAGATTCATGCTGCTGGTTTTGTGGAGGATGTCTGTGTAGGCTGTGTACCCATAATCCTCCACTCCGTGTGGGAATACACCTATGCAAATGGACTCGAATGTGGTATCGTTTCGTCACTGCACTTTTCAATTTGAATCACACTGTTTGGATTCCTCCGTTAGCTGACGCAGTTACTGTGGTAACCGCATGTTGATCCCGAGCGATGCAGAAATCTTTTCCACTTCACACCTGAATTTATTTTATATTTAAGCTCCTTACGGCATCATTCTGAAACTGTCATTCGCTGAGCTCTTTCGCTTAATTTCCAGCACTATGGTGACAATTCTTTATTTTGCTTCAATTTTGGTGACAAATTCCAACAATGGCATTTCAAAGTCGTGCTCGTGTTCGTGCAGGTTCAAAAACATGTTGCAAACGTACATTTTAGGATCACTTTTAGCGTCACATGCACCTCAGCAGTGTTACTGATGCTAAAAATTTGTGTTAGTTAGAAAATAAGCAAAGAATTACTGTCTCACTGCCTTCCTTTCTTTTACATTCTATAATGAAGTCTATGGTGCAGATCATGACCTATTTTCTATTTAAATGAACCCCTTTGGTATATTTTTTTAAACTTTCAGAGTTATTTTGTTTTACTTTTGTTTTTCATGTGTTGGCTTCTGTACTTTAGGGATCAATAAAACACATCTTAAAATAACACTAGTGCATTAAAGGCTTCATGTTTTCCTAGAACTGCACAGATCATTTACATGATGTGTTTATTATTTATACATACATCATGCTCAAAAGTCACCTTACAGTATGTACTCACCTTTGACCAGGCCCTGAATGACAGCAGACACTTTAACGCAACTCTGGATGATGGTGATCTCTATAAGGAAGGGAAACAAAACCTTCAATAAA